GCAAACTCACCCCACCGACTATACACCGTCGCCCCCTAATAAACTCGCCCCTTAACAAACGCGCCCACTAACAAACTCGCCCATAACCTTTGTCGTCGGATCAAAAATATAAAAAAACAGTAATTCAGTAATTTGCCTATCCAAATAAGGTTATTTTGACTACCAATCCTGTTGTGGTCAGCTAAAAGCATATTTGGGACCGCACTAAGCAATAAAAACTTTCCCTGTGAACTTACAAGGTGTAGTTTTATCGTTAGTTGCGATATATAGGACAGAAGGAAAGTAAAAAGGAAAGGAAAAAGAGGAGAGAAAAATAAAGACAAGAATAAAAAGGAAGATATCATAATGACCAGACTCACAACACCGTGCAATCTCTTCTCCATTTAACTCCTTTGATCAAAGCTGCCAGATGGCGTAACCACCGGGGAACAAAGGGAAAATATCTATCTTTGGAAAATCTTTCCCACCCCTTTATAAATGCCCGTTTCATCCCCTGAAAATGCCTAAAAATCTAAAATTTCGCGCGCTTCGCACGCATTTTTTGCCAAAGTAGGCCAATTTCCTCTAAAAAAATTGCACATTTTAGGGATTTTTGATAAATTCCGACGAAATTAGAATTAAAAACACCGGGGGACAAGGGGAAAATATCCATCTTTGAAAAATCTTTCCCCACACCTCTATAAATGTCATTTCTGTCTCTTATACACATTAGTGAGTAGTCAGTTCAAGAATTACATCATGTAAGCTAGAGATAAAGCGAATATACGTTGCTATGGTTCCTTCCTTACAGTCTTACTATTGTTTAGATGAGACATGGAGCAATTAGCCGAGGTGCTAATATATAGTTGTTACACAATAAAGTAGACGCTTTGTTCTGTGTCTACTACATGAAGTTACCATTTCATTTCTGTTATTTAATGTGCCTGGGTTTACAAATTATGAAATACTTCTCCATCAGGCATAGATTACACTTTTTTGGGCCGGAGAGTACGGCTTGCATTTTGCTAGGATTTTCCATTTTAACGATTACCAGGATAGAGTTACCTTTAAGGGTCCATATAATATATTGGCTGAGGGTTGTAGCATTTTTTGGGACTTGTTCCTGAAGTTGCTGATGTGTCCGTTATATCTAGTTTTAAATGTGTGCTCTGTTAATCCAATATATGTTTCTTTGGATTGGTCGTCGTATCTAGTAACTGTCGCTTGGTATATACTGTGACTACCGTACTTTGGTTAAACAGTTTCTTCTAATGGGCACCATACGTTTCAATTCAAAATAAATTTATTCCAAATCTTTTCAAAGCATAGATAAACAGTACAGATATAAAAAAGGAAATGGAAAGGGCAACCACAAACAAGCAGAGCTTTACAATAGTGGCGCCCGAAAAAAAAGTAATTAAGATGCTATTTCAAATTGACAAAGTAAGTCAAGGTATACATTTTAATTAAAGCACTTTCATGTCATAGATCAAGACAATAATAATAATAATAATAATGATGATAATAATAATAATAATAATAATAATAATAATAATAATAATAATAATAATAATAATAATAATAATAATAATAATAATAATAATAATAATAATAATAATAATAAGAAGAAGAATAAGAATAATAGCAAAGAAAAGAAAAATAGAATAAATAATAATAATAATAATAATGATAAAATATAAATAATATGTCGGTCTTAGATAGCAATTTAAACACTGTAAAATTATATAAATAATTAAATTAAATAGTTTCTCCTGCAATTACAATTAGTTTGTTTGGTCCAATATTTCTTTTTTCAGCAGCATCTTGTGGCTTGAAATTATCTGTTTTATATTGGACATACAACTGTAGCTTAATTTCAAAGTGTTTCGTTATTTTTCTGAGTGGGTGGTTTGGCGGGAATGATGAATCAATGATAGATAGGAAATTATGGACTATGTTGGTTGAAACATTGTCGCTATATGGTGGGTTGAACCAGATGATTTTACGTTGTCGATTTCGTTTGTTTTGCTTTCCTTTGCGGGTTGGTTCAAATTTATGGGGAACCAGTCAACTCGCCCCTTACAAACTCGCCCCTTTACAAACTCGCCCCCTGACTGTACACAGTCACCCCCTAACAATCTCGCCCCCTAACAAACTCGCCCCCTAACAAACTCGCCCCTAGCAAACTCACCCCACCGACTATACACCGTCGACCCCTTAATAAACTCGCCCCTTAACAAACGCGCCCACTAACAAACTCGCCCATAACCTTTGTCTGTCGTCGGATCAAAAATATAAAAAT